CCCAAGCCATGGTATTTTCAATAACCTCATATGCATGCAAAAGCTGGACAGTGAATAACAAAGACTGTAGAAGAATTGATGGTTTTGAGTTATGGTGTTGAAGGAGAATACTGAAAGTGCCATGGGCTGCCAAAAGAACCAACAGATCTGTGTTGGAAGCAGTGCAGCTAGAGTGCTCCCTGGAGGCCAAGATGGCCAAACTTCGTCTCTCATACTTCAGATATATTGTCAGTAGGGAGCAGTCGCTGGAGAAGAACATCATGTTTGGTAAGGTGCAGGGTCAGAGAATAAGAGGAAGACCCCCAGCAAGATGGATTGGCAAAGTGGCAGCATCAGTGGGCTCCAGCGTGGCAGCAATTGTGAGGTTGTTGGTCCAAGATCGAGTAGTGTTTCCTTTGTTCTGTTGTGCATTGGGTTGCTATGAGTCGGTATCGACTCGAAGGCACCTAACAGCAACAAGTCCACAAGGTCAGCAGTTCAGATTCATCAGCCCCTTGGAAACCTTATACAGGGTCGCCATGAGTCAGACATGACTGGACGTCACTTAACAACAAAAGTAACATCTCTTAGAGCAGAGCTGGGCAATAGAAATATAACATGAGCTATATATGTAATTGTAAATTTTCATGTAGCCACTTTCAAAAAATAGACACATTAAATTAATTTTAATAATTAATTTGAATCGATATATCAAGAAATGTATTTCAGTACAAAGAATTATTGAGCTATTTTATATTTTTTGGTACAGTTTTTCAAAATCCATGTATATATATTTTATATTATTGTTGTTAAGTGCCATCGAGTTGGTTTTGACTTACAGTGACCTGAATAGGGTTTCCAAAGAGCAGCTGGTGGGTTTGAACTGCCAACCTATGGTTAGCAGTCCAGTGTTTACAATGCCACACCAAGACTCCATATTTATAGCATCTCTGTATTCAGACTAGCCATATTTCAAATGCTTGATGTGTTTATAATGTGAGTTGGAATCTACTTACTGGCAGTGGGTTTGATTAGTGCAAGAAAGACTCAAAGCCTTTCCAGTGATGTTCAAATCTGCATGTGCATCAAGTGAGGTGTTTGTGATGAAGAATTTGTTGTGAGTAGCTGTTGGTTCAATCCTTTCAAAATGAGGGAAGATTACTTAACATTAAAATAGGGCTTTGAAACAACCCTGAATTCTGCTCAGAGAATTCTGCTAACCACACTGCTTTCAGTTTGTTGTCCACAATCCAGCTAATAATCTAAGTGCAGCCTTAGAGAGTAGCTATATCTTGGGGCTATCTCATTTCTAATCATCAATTTTATATACTAAAAGACTTGATTTTTGCTATGTTGCCTATAGTGCTTAAGATTCAAAACATCCAACTTTTGTTAATCAGAGTTATAAGAGACTGATGAACCACAATACCAATATGTTAATTTAGACCAGAATACCCTCTCTTCCCTAGTGGAAACTAAATTATTCTTAAAACTACTAGAGGAGCATTGTGTCAGAGCAAATGAAATTACGTTATGTAACCATTTTAGCATAGAGATGTAACAACCAAGTCCTTGGGACTAGAAACATGACTGCCCTTTTCTAGATCCCAGTGCACACCATATAGTTTCTCTGAATGATTTGGGCAGGATGCAGTTACTTGAGTATTTTTCAGCTTTTATTAGCATGTGCTACTCTTGTCTTTGTGCACAATGAATAAGGAAGATTGTAGAAGAATTGATGCCTTTGAGTTATGGTGTTGGAGGAGAATACTAAAAGTGCCATGGGCTGCCAAAAGAACCAATAGATCTGTTTTGGAAGAAGTGCAGCCAGAGTGCTCCTTGGAGGCCAAGATGGCTAAACTTCGTCTCTCATATTTTGGACATATTGTCAGGAGGAAACAGTCACTGGAGAAGGATATCATGCTTGGTAAGATGGAGGGTCGGAGAAAAAGAGGAAGACCCCCAACGAAATAGATTGACCAGGTGGCAGCATTGATGGACTCAAGTGTGGCAGCAGTAGTGAGGTTGGCCCAGGATCGGACATTGTTTCGTTCTGCTGTGCATGGGATCGCTATGAGTTGGTTCCGATTCGATGGCACCTGACAACAAAAACAACAACAACTCTGTCTTCAAGAACACTGCTCTGGTAGTGTAGTGGTTACGAATTGTGCTGCAAACCGCAAGGTTGGCAGTTTGAAACTACCAGCTAGCTGTTACATGGGAGAAAGATGAGGCTTTCTGCTCCCGTAAAGATTTACAGCCTTGGAAACCCTGTACAGGGTTGCTATGAGTCGGAACTGACTCCACAGCACATAACCACCACCACTCTGTCTTTGGTGATATCACTCCAGATTTTTAATTTCAGTCTCAGAGTGGCCTTTTCCTTGTCACCAAAAGCCAATAACATAATGTGCCAACTCAATCTGGGACTCTAAATCTATAAGGTTTCACAGCTTCTCCTAAGGTGGATCTTTTAGCTCTGTCTGCATTTTAGCCTTGAGTTTAGATCAGAAATAAGGAGCTATGGTTAGGAGATATTGTTGTTAAGAGCTGTCCAGTGGGTTCCAACTCTTAATGAAACTGTATAGGGCTTCCACAAAGTGGCTGGTGAATTTGAACCACCAACCTTGAGGTTCAAACTGACTTTGCAGTCCAGTGCTTATCCTACAGTGCCACACCAGGTTAGGGGATAGGAGTAACTTAATTGTGTGCATTTCTCTGGTATATTCTTGGATTCTTTATTCTCAGGCAGATTTCGAGCAGACAACTTGAACAAGCTGAAGAACCTATGCAGCAAGACAATTGGAGAGAAAATGAAGGTAAGATGGCAGCAGCCCATTTTATGTTTGAGCAGAGGTATTTTCCTTAATTAATATGTACTAATAGCATTTCTAGCGGGCTCTGGTAGCGTAATGGTTACGAATCGGGCTGCGAACCTTAAGGCCAGCCGTTTGTAACTACCAGCCGCTCCGCGGGAGAAAGATGAGGCGTTCTGCTCCCGTAAAGATTTACAATCTCGGAAACCCTGTACATCGTTGCTATGGGTCGGAACCGACTCAACGGCACTTAACAACAACAACAATATCATTTCTAATTGAGTGTCTAATTCTGTGAGATACTGAATTTCTTACCAAAGAGAGAAAATTATTAAAGAAAGAACTAAAAGATACTGTCAAAGATTGGTGAATCTATCTTCAGGTTTTCAGATCACATTGTTCCCACACTGGTTGTTTATCATTGATTCTATTCTTGCTATGGAAACATAGGTTCTGTTAGTAATCCCTTCTAGTTATTTCTTGCACACTCCACATGGTGCCAGAAGGTACACTTCTGATTTTTTATCCCAGTATTGTCATGTTTCTTGATGAAAAGAGCAGGTAGGAAGTTCAAATCCCACCTTGTCTTTGGCTCTATGGCATTAGGCAAGTTAACTTCTGAGGCTCAGTCTTCACATCGGTAGGTTGATAATACTGAAACTCACCTAGCCATAAAAGCCCATTCCATTGAGTTGATTCTGACTCCTGGCCACCCCAAGGTGACTCACCTACAGTATGTTATTGTTGTTAAGTGCTGTTGAGTTGGTTCTGACTCATAACCTAACCCTATATAGGCTTTCTGATGGCTGAGAATATTTGCTGCAGCAGAAAGCCTCATCTTTTTCCCACGGAATGGTTGGTAGGCTCAAACCGCTGACCTTGCAGTTTGCTGTCCAATGCTTATCCGTACAGAGCCACCACACTCCCCATTGAGTGGATTCCAATTCATAGCAATGACTATAAAAGATAAAGTAGAACTGTCCCCTAAGGTGTGGTGCTATAAGATAAGCACTGCACTGTAAAGTTGTTTGAACCGTAAGGTTAGTGGTTCAAACCCACCAGCCACTCTTTGGAAACCCTATACAGGGTCACTATGAGTCAGAACTGACTCATTGACAACAACTCATTAGCAACAACAGCAACTAATCTGTACTGAACCAAACCACATCTTTCTCCTGTGGAGCTACTGGTGGGTTTGAACCACCCACCTTTTGGTTAGCACCTGACTGTTTAAGCTCTGCACCACCAGCACTCTGCATAGTGTAGAATAGTGCGAGCTACATTTTTTAATGTAGAGAACTGGGCACAGTGCCTAGGACACTAGTTACTCAGCAATTGTTTGTGACAGTGAATGACGAGTATTTCTGGCCTTTACGCAGAAAGCCCCTGATAGTTAAATTTCAGCTCAACTTTTACCTTGGTATCCAGAATTGTTCCTGTTTACCACCTTTCTTCAAAAATACCTTTTTAGCCCTTTTATAGACTTTTAAAGACTATATTTAATACACTACATAATCTGTATAATGTTTAACTTATAAAGTGTGAAGGTTTTTTGTTTCTGTTTTTCAATTACCAAATTTTGGAACCTGATCCAGTAAAGAACATAACCAAAAAGATTATGTTGGGTTTCTAGCACCTTAACACTTCACTTCTGCATCCTATTCTAACTGTCTGCATCCTGCTGATGGTACTGCATTATTACACTTTTAGCTTGTGACTTGCTGTGGAACAGATAATCGTGTCGTTCTCCTCCAGTGGGACTCCTGATGCTTAAACATTTGCATATGTCATAAGTCCCAGAATTCTGTGCCTCCTCCTTGTGCACCCTGCACCTGTATTAGTGTTAGTGGGTGTTTTTTGTAGCAAGAAGATTGGCTTGAGTGTTTTCATTTATCTGTAGCACTGCTAACCCTGCAGGGAGTATTTGCTCTCTTACTCTCCATTGAAATAGTTGTAATTGTGCTTTAATTTAAAGTATTCAAAACCCTTTCATGTAGATCTCATTTTGATTTTGATCTCTACTCCAAACTTAGAGTTTATGTAGTACATTTATCCGGTATCAGAATAACCAAAGAAAAACCAAACCCACTGTCATTTGTGTTGGTTCCAACTCAACTACAGGGCAGAGTAGAACTGCTCCATAGGATTTCTGAGATTGTAAATCTTTATGGGAGGCTTGACCCACCGACCTTGTGGTTAGCAGCCCGATGCCTAACTCACTACACCACCAGGGATTTGTTGTTGTTATGTGCCGTGGAGTTGGTTCCGGCTTGGCACGACCCTGCACAGGGTTTCCGAGGCCGTAAATCTTTAAGGGAGCAGAAAGCCTCATCTTTCTCCCACGGAGCAGCTGGTAGTTTCGAACTGCTGACCCTAAGGTTAAAAGCCAAATTCATAATCACTGGTAGCGTAGTGGTTACGAATCGGGCTGTGAACTGTAAGGTCAGCAGTTGGAAACTACCAGCTGCTCCGTGGGAGAAAGATGAGGCTTTCTGCTCCTGTAAAGATTTATGGCCTTGGAAATCCTGTTCAAGGTTGCTATGGGTTGGAACCGACTCCACGGCACATAACAACGACAACACTACCAGAACTCCACACCACCAGGGATTGTTGTTGTTGTTTTTAAGTGCCGTGGAGTCGGTTCTGACTCATAGCAACCACCAGGGATACTAGATCACAAAACAGGTTTAGGAAAACTAAGGGTCTTGCTTAGAATCATACCACATGAATTAGTTGTAGAGGTCACCGTCAAGCAAAAATGCCACTATATGCCTGCCCACTCTGCCTGTAATGTCATTGTAAAAATCTTGAAATTTAGGCCATTTTATTCATCTACCACAGCATATTGGGCTATACTTGTTCTTATCAAGATTTATTCTGATATTTTCAGACCTTTCCAACTCTTTAAGATGATTTTGCTGTGTCACTGAGGGTGTGTGTCAGGTTATAGTTAGAATCCTGACTTCTCACTTTGATAGTTAAGGACATGTAATAGCATCTCAAGGATTTTGGTATAAACATAACTGCCTGTTGTATGTGTAAACTTAAGAAACAACAACAAACCTTTACATACTGAATGCGATTTCTACACAGCATTTTTATTCATAATTACAAAGCAAAATGTCAGTCTTATCAAATTATTTTCAGAAAAGTTTTGCTGAGGTCATATATCTTTTTGGCTTAAGAATTTGACTCCCTAAATGATCTTCTCTGTTGTTGTTCAGTTGTCATATAGACAGTTAAGACTTATGGTAGCATCCTTTATGGAGAAGCCTCCACGGCATACAGTTTTCAAACCTGTGGACTTTCGGAAGCAAATTTCCAGGCCTGTCTTTTGAGGCACCTGTTGGTAGATTCCAGTCATGACAGTAAGTAGTCCAGCACTTAACCATTTGTGTCACTCAGGAACTCTGTCTTCCCCACAAGCTCTGCAAGGATTAGAAATGCTTGTTTGATAAAATCTCTACAAAGACGGCTAAGGAGAGAAATTAGAGCAAAAAATCTAGCCCTGGTTATACTTCTTTCATTTTGCCAAGCTAGAGTGCTTGGGTGGTACAAACAGTACACTCACTGCTAGCTGTGAGAGGCTGGAGGTTCAGGTCTATCCAGAGGCACCTCAGGAAGAAGGTCTGGCAATCTACTTCAGAAAAATTAGTCACTGAACAGCCCCTGGAGCCCAGTTCTCCTTTGACACATCTGAGGACACACTAGTAGCAACCCCACAGCAGCTGGTAATTGGTTTGCGTGGCTTGCTCCAAACGTAGTAACAGATTCTGTGACTTTTTTATTTTTCCTCAAAAATTGTATTTTCCTTTACTCCCTAGTTTTCCATCATGTGATCCTTTTTGTTCCCTTCACCTCAGTGCTGAGATGGTTCTTCAGCAGATAGACAAGAGGGTCACACCCAGGCCCTGCCCTCACTACCTTTCTTGGCAACATCCGATTCATGAGCATCTTGAAACACATTCTCTCTTGATGCCTGTGACTGTTCTATGACATTATTCTCCTCATGGTCCTCTTGATGCTAACTCTCTGACCTCAGCAGGTTAATTGACTTGCCCAAGATTTAAAAACAAAACAAAACAAAACAAAACAAAAAAACAGCCATCAATAAGTGGCAGAACAGGAACTTGAAACTTTGACTTCTGGCTTCAAATATACTAGTTTTCCTCCTGTTCCATCTTTAGAGGAATGTTCTGTGAAGAGAAAGTGTGGTGATTTGTTTACACAATGTATTATTAATTTGGTGTGCACTGGTACTATGTCAGAGATTCTATTTTATTTCATGGTGTTGGGTTTTTTCCATCCCGTAGAAAAAGGAGCCAGTAGGAGACGAGGAGTCCATTCCGGAGGATGTACTGAACCTTGATGACCTCTCAGCAGACACTTTAGCTGTAAGTTAGCCACCTTTTCTGGGGCATTCACCTAGCTAGGCTGGGATTTCTGCTCTTTTGTCCTAACTGCTCCACAAGGCGCTGTGGAATTCTCAGATGTGCAGCTTGGAATTATCACCCTTGCTCCTGCTACACTCTGTACATGAGCGTCTATGAGACAGATTTGTAAGACAAGACCATCTTTATTCTGTGTGAAATAATTCTTCAGTTTTTTTGGAAGCTTTTTTCCATTTTCAATATGCTGCCAAAAGTCATTTTGAACACTACCCCCTCCTCTTCCGTGGACTGACTGTGCCCTTCTGCTGTATAGAACCTGAAAGTCTCACAAATCAAAAAAGTCCGGCTCCTTATAGACGATGCCATTCTGAAGTGTGATGCTGAGCGGATCAAGCTGGAAGCAGAGAGGTTTGAAAACCTCCGGGAGATTGGGAACCTTCTGCACCCCTCTGTGCCCATCAGTAACGATGAGGTAGGTATCCAGGCAGCAGCAGGCAGCCACCCTACATTGCTGCTCTGTCTCTCAGGTAGGGGCAGGGGTGGGAGGAGAGCCTTGAAACACTGACATTCAGTATAATAGGCCTTGTGTCATAAGCAGGCTCTTTGTCTGTTCCCTCTGCCCACCAATTGAGAATTGAAAGAGTCAGATCCTTGCTTGATTGGGAAGTAGCAGAGACAGCAGGTAGGAGGAGACTCCTGGCACCGAAATCTCTGCTAAATAGGACTGCTGTCCTCCACTGTGTGTTGCCCATGGCAGCAGCGAGTCTTGTGGGAGGGATCTGCTAAATCAACCTAACCCCCTTACCCCCATCCTGCTGAGAAGCTGCAGGTTGAAGGGAAATCTGCATGATAAAAGTTCCTGCTGAGCAGGAACTTCCCCAGCACAAAGCTGCTCCAAGCCCAGCTTTTGTTCCCTGACACCCCAGCCGTGGCTGGGCCCATCTGTGCCTCTTTCATTCATTCCCTGGTGAACGTTAAAGTTATTGCTGGCTGGGGTGTGCGGGGAGGCAGCCAAGCCGAGCCGACTCAGAGGTCAGGGCCCTGAGCCCGCCCTCTTGTGGCCCCGGGACCAATGAGCGCCAGGAAGAAAAAAAACCTACATTCTCATCAGCACCCCAGGCAATACCCATTGTCTGGGAAGGGTTGCCCTTGTGCAGCCTTTTCAAAAAGGAGCCATTTAAAAGGGTAAAAACAATAAAACAAGAAGATACTACAGATCTCTTGGAAATTCCTGATTCCAATTTCTAGACTCTTAGAGTTTATAAATTATTTTTCTTGTTAAGTGCCTTGGAGTCACTTCGGACTCAGAGTGTCCCTGTATAGGGTTTCCAAGGAGCAGTTGATGAGTTTGAATCGCCAACCTTGTGGTTAGCAGTCTAGTGCTGCAGTTCCACAGTTATTGTTTCTGTTAGGTGCCATCGAGTCAGTACCGACTCAGAGCAACCCTATGCACAATAGAACAAGTTTGAGTTAAGAGAGAACATCACAAGCTAGGTTGCTCCTGGGATAGGCTTTGGAAAGATGGAGATTATTGAAGTAAGAAATTGTGTTTCTTCCTCTTCTGGTCTTGTTCCTTTAGGATGCAGACAACAAAGTAGAGAGGATTTGGGGTGACTGTACTGTCAGGAAGAAGTACTCTCACGTGGACCTCGTGGTGATGGTAGACGGCTTTGAAGGCGAAAAGGGAGCTGTGGTGGCAGGGAGTCGAGGCTATTTCCTAAAGGTAAGAATTGGGAATTATTGGGGATAGAATTAGAAATAATTTTTTTTTTTTTTCCAAAAGAACCTAACCAACTTAAAGAGGCTCACAGATCCACCAATTGTACTTACTTGCCTTTCTACTGCTGACCCATTAGCAATTAAACGCAGTTCTCTTTTTAGCAGAAAAGAATGCCACCAAGTGATCCTACATGATGAAATTTACTAACTCAGTCAACCAAATACATATTGACTGTCCATTTTTGCCAAATCCTGTGCTTGGCACTAAGCAAAACTGATGACTCAAACCCAGGTCTCCGCCTTTAAGGAGTGGAGTGTAATTAGACAATGAGACAAGTCATAGAGAACCAGAATTGGCAGTAAGAGTGCCATGTTCTGCATAGGTCCAGAGGGCTGTGAACAGGTAGGTGGAGGTAACAGACCCAGAGCAGGTAGGGAAGAGAGCAGATGGATTCAGGAAAGCTTCCAGAAGGATATGGCAAAATGCAATAATTTTGGAAATGCTGTACAGATACAGTGAGGAACGCTACATATATACATATGAGACCAATGTATTTAAAATTAGCACAAAAAGCTGCCCTTGCACCGTGTGTGAATAATCCTTGTCCCTTACTTTGGTATCTTAAAGGGAATTCTCTTTAAGAAGGTCTTGCACTGATTCTTGTAAGGAACTCCTGGGTCTGTGTTGGCCTCTGTGCCCCGGGTAGTCACAGTCCAGGTATGTGTGAGTTGAGTGTCCATCCAGGCAGATGAACATGATGGCAACAAAACACTCTCACGAGTCCTGTGGATCTGCTCTTGTAGGGGGTCCTGGTGTTCCTGGAACAGGCGCTTATCCAATATGCCCTTCGCACCTTGAGAAGCCGAGGCTATACCCCCATCTATACTCCCTTTTTCATGAGGAAGGAGGTCATGCAGGAAGTGGCACAGCTCAGCCAATTTGATGAAGAACTTTATAAGGTGAGTGGCTGGGACTGCATGGTGGATTGCCTTCTTCAGCTAGGAAAGTCAGAGCAGCACTGTCCAACAGAAGTCTGTCATGACACAGGTGTTCTGTATCTGTGTCTCTTGAGCACTCACACACAATGTGGCCAATGCAAACGAAGAACTAAGTTTTTCCATTTTAATTTAAATAACCGCATGTAGCTTTGTTATTGTTGTGAAGTGCCTTCGAGTCTGTCCCTGTTCATAGTGACCCTATGTAGGGTTTCTGAGGCTGTCAATCTTCATGGAAGCAGAAAGCCTCAGCTTTTCCCAGGGAATAGCTGGTGGCTCAAACTGCTGATCTTGTGGTTAGCAGTCCAGTGCTTCTCCTTCACGTGGTGTTGTTAAATGCCTTCGAGTCGGTTCTGACTCACAGCAACCCTGTATAGGGTTTCCGAGGCTTTTTAAAAATCTTTGCAGGAGCAGAAAGCCTCATCTTTGGCTGGTAGGCTTGAACTATGGACCTGGTCATTCCCAGTCCTGTGATTGTCACATGGAGCCACTAAGCTCCCCGTTCTGTACAGGACGTGCTTTAACACAAGGCCCACTTGGAACAGGAGTGAGACAACTGCTTTCGGGCCCGTCTCATTTAGCTTATGTAGGGAGATAAGTTTAATAATTAGAGCCTTCTTCCCCCTGGATCTTGTTGGTAAGTTCAAAGTTATTATTTTGACTCAGAATGCACTGGGAAAAAAAGTGCTCTCTAAACCCCAGGCATTGATACAGTCTTGGTATCCTTCCTTTCTCCTCCTTCTAATGAGGGGAGGAATATGTCCGGGTATGAACCCAAACCTGTTTTACCTTCTCTTTTTTTCTAATCTCAGCCTCCAAGATTGGATAATCACTAACAACTGTTAAGAAGTATCCAGTGCAGCCAATATCATGGAGAAATATTAGGGAGTTGATGTTACCTGTGTTTCCTGTATCTCTTATCTTCTTAGATTCACAGACAGAATCACTGGTCTCAGTAGTGAGGCATTTTGGCTGGCATTCCTTACACAAGGTCACTGTTAGGTGTTGGCCAGTAGATTCCAACTCATAGTGACCCTGGGTAGCAGAGTAGAGCTGCCTCTTAGAATTTTCTAGGCTTTAATCTTTATCGGAGTAGATAGTCAGGTCTTTCTCGTACAACCGTCTCGGTAGGTTCGAACCACCTTTGGGTTAGCAGCCAAACATATATGCGCCACCAGGGGTCCTTCTTGCCTACTATGCATCTCAGTTTATTCAATAGAACTTTCTGTAATAGCAGAGAGGTTCTGTATCGACATGATCTAGTACAGAAGCCACCAGCCACATGTGGTTGTCAGGTACTTGAAATGTAGTTAGTGCAACTGAGGAACCAAGTCTTACTTTGCTTATTATTTAATGAACTTAAGTAGCCATGTGTGGCTAGTGGCTACTGTGTTTGACCGCACAGTCCTGGAGTTCTTCTGTGCTGTATGTGAATAGCCTGACAGAGGTTGAAATTCCCACTATCAAGAAGTGAAGTAGCTTTCCAGTTCCCCAAACTCTGACCCAGACAAAGTTTCCTCCCCACCTTTTTTTTTTTTAATTAAAGTAATATAACAACACGAAGTTTAGAAATATATGATTCTAACAGAAAAATTGTCATTTTTTATTTCTCTCTTTGAATCATTTTTTCATGCATATGTCCTTTTCATGTACATATAACCACAGTGTTCGAGGGGCTTCAAAAAGTTAGTGGGAAAATGGAATTTTTAAAAATAATGGGATTTTTCCAAAAACGTTTTGATGCCCTCTTGTTTTACAGATTGCCTTTTTATTCAGCCATATGTAATGGATTTTTTCTGTGTTACTACATGGTCTTTCATGGAGTCCTGTTGTGGTGCTATTGGATAAGCACTAGATTGCAAACTGTAAGGTCAGCAGTTCAAACCCACCAGCTGTTCCTTGGAATCTGTACAGGGTTGCTGTGAGTCAGAACCAACTCAACAGCATTTAACAACAAACATGGTTTGCATAGTCATCATTTTTAATGGTTATAGGCAGTCAGCTCATCCTCTGTTGAATATTGAAGGGCTTTCTTTTAAGCTGTAAATAAATGGCACAATGAACTTTTTCTGTCTGTACATGTTTTTTGTTTTAATTGCATTATTTTTTTTTTGCTAAACAAGAAAGTGCCTTCTTTATAAAGATTTTAACCACTAGACTAGTCCGTAAGCACCAAGAAAACAGAAACTAGATCTCTTTATGTCCAAAAAGGGCTTGCTCCACAAGCATTTGTGAGTGGACTTCCTTGTATTGCTGCCTGCACAGTTTTATTGCATGCCTACCAGCATTGACCATAATATGCTGTCCTTTCATATTTTATTTATTGCTGTCAGGTGCCATGGAGTCGGAACCGACTCATAGCGACCCCATGCACAGCAGATAAGGGAAAATCTGTTTCCCTTTCATCTGCATTTCTTTGATCTCTATCAGAAACCCCTTATTGGGCTGACCCATTCCCTCCTTTGTCTTTTTACCATCCCCTCCCCATTACATAGTGGTTACAAATCGGGCTGCAGAACTTAAGGTCGGCAGTTCGAAACTACCAGCTGTTCCACAGGAGAAAGATGAGGTTTTCTGCTCCCATAAATATTTACAGCCTTGGAAACCCTCCACAGGGTCACTATGAGTTGCTTCCGACTCCACGGCTCATAACCATCACCTTTCCTTCTTCCTGACTCCCCACCTGTACCCCTGGGCCTTCTTGTTTTCACCGAGGTCTTCCCACCTGGCTCTCCATTAGTAGAGGTCCATCTTCCTACAGGTGATTGGCAAAGGCAGTGAGAAGGCTGATGATAACTCTTACGATGAGAAATATCTGATTGCCACCTCAGAGCAGCCCATTGCTGCTCTCCACCGGGATGAGTGGCTGCATCCAGAGGATCTGCCCATCAAGTATGCCGGTGTGTCCACCTGCTTCCGCCAGGAGGTGGGCTCCCATGGCCGCGACACCCGTGGCATCTTCCGAGTCCATCAATTTGAGAAGGTAAGTTGATGATCAAGTTCTAAGTAGCTATCAGGCCATCAGAGGAAAGGCAGATATGTGTTGCTGGGGTCCACCCTCGTTGCAGTGTTTCCTCTTGTTGCCTGCACCTTTGTCTGAAAAGCACATGGTGGAGTGGCTGTTTTCACAGACTCGACCAGACTGTCTGAGTTTGTATGCCAACTCAGCCACTTACCGGCTGTGTGACTGCACAAATTGCATAGCCTCACTGTGCTCAGTTTCTCTCCTCTGTAGAATAAGGATAATAATAATACCTGTCCTAGGCCTGCTGTAAAGATTAAACTATTCAATATGTGCAAAACACTTCTAACAGTGCCTGGGATGTCTGACATCAGCTCTCTCTATTGTTATAGTTGAGGCAAGAACCCGTTTCTCTTTCTGGGTACCCCAGCCTCACCTGCCTCCCAGTGGGTGGAATAGGATAGGTTTTCATTGTAACAATGTCTGCCACCCTTCACCCTACACCATTGCCACTGTCTCCTTGGGCCCTTCTGCAGATTGAACAGTTTGTCTACTCGTCACCTCATGACAACAAGTCATGGGAGATGTTTGATGAGATGATTGGCACCGCAGAGGAGTTCTACCAGTCTCTGGGGATTCCCTACCACATTGTGAATATCGTCTCAGGTAGGAAACCTGTCAGCTTCCTTGCCTCCCTCTCCTGCACCCCACAGACACCACCCTCACCAACCTAGCAGCCACACAGAAATTGCTCACAGTCCAACTAATCATCCACGTTAATTAAAACATCACACTCTTCTCACTTGGGAGTATTTGGCGATAAGAATATCTGGGTGTGATTTCCCTTCTGGGGATAGAATATGAATTGAATGATCCTTCAGGCTTGCTAGAGGTCAGCCTTCTGACACACTGGCTTTCCTTCATGAATTCTAGGGGGTTTTTTCTCACAGGTTCTCTGAATCATGCTGCCAGTAAGAAGCTTGACCTGGAGGCTTGGTTTCCGGGCTCCGGAGCCTTCCGAGAGTTGGTTTCTTGTTCGAATTGCACAGACTACCAGGCCCGCCGTCTCCGAATCCGATACGGGCAGACCAAGAAAATGATGGACAAGGTAGGGGCTCCCAGGACGGTGGAAAACAGGGCCTTCACTAGAGGATAGATCCCTCTGATTTCTCAACCTTTGGAGTGCGAGAGGCCCCGCTGCAGTGGGGGAAAATTAGAGTTTCTCAATTGAGGCCAAAAAAGGGAACCCTAAAGTGACTTCTGCTGAGTCAGCTCTGGCTTCTTTTAGATCAAAACCTGAATCTACTCTGTGTTTTCTCTCCTTTGGACTTTGTTTTCTTTGATTCCAGAGGAAGAATGTTGTTGTTGTTGTTGTTGTTATGCGCCGTGGAGTCAGTTCTGACTCATAGCAACCCTGTACAGGGTTTCCGAGGATGTAAATCTTTACAGGAACAGAAAGCCTCATCTTTCTCCCGCGGAACAGCTGGTAGTTTTGAACTGCTGACCTTGAGGTTAGCAGCCCAATTCGTAACCACTATGCTATGTATCTACACAGAACAGATTGGAGCTAACACCTTTCCTCCTTCCCTTTTCTCACCCAAGAAGGCCTGAACCTGTGAATTTACCTTCTTAAGCCCAGTTTTCAGGAGTCCTGGTGTGCCTCTGTAGGATGTCTCCCACCCTACAGCAGTGGACTGTTGACCGCTACTCAGAAGCCCTGTACAGGGTCACTATGAATCAGAACCACCTCCACAGCATTTGACAACAACAGCAACAATCTTTTCCAAGTCAGGGGCTTTATCTAATAAGCAGTGGCTACCAAACAAAATTTGAGTTTAGAAAAGAGATATGAATAGGTCCTCTGGTTTGGGTTTGGATGGTTGCATTTTTCGCTCGGAGTAGATTGTTACTGGTCATGGGTAAGATCAGCTAGGAGTTGAGCTTCACCTGCTCCCCTGGACCTCTCTCTCCTCAGGTGGAGTTTGTTCACATGCTCAATGCTACAATGTGTGCCACTACTCGCACCATCTGTGCCATCCTGGAGAACTACCAGACAGAGAAGGGCATCACTGTGCCTGAGAAACTGAAGGAGTTCATGCCGCCTGGTAAGACAACCTGCCCAGCTCACCTTCCTTGTATCTTCACAGTCTTGTGAAGTACTGATGCCTAAGCAGGTGTTCAAACCCAGTCTCCAACATCCTGCCTACCCGCAGGCTTAAATACAGCTAGAATTCCGAGGGGGGAGACAAACATGAATGAAAGTAGTGACCATCATAGGCACCTCTTTGTTCAAAGAGCTCACTGTCTTACCACATTCTCCTCAGAGGTATTGGAGCTCTGACTTTCTGAGACGCAGGCGGTCATTTGGTTGGCTCTTCCCTCCCAGGTCTCCAAGAACTGATCCCCTTTGTGAAGCCTGCGCCCATTGACCAGGAGCCATCAAAGAAACAGAAGAAGCAGCATGAGGGCAGCAAAAAGAAAGTGGCAGCAGGAGATACCGCCTTGGAAGGCCAGCTGCAGAACATGGGGGTCACTGATGCCTGAACATCCCTTCCGGCCTGTTCTCCAGGCTTTCATTTCTGTCAGCTGGGATCTTCAAGGCTGCCCAAGGGCAGGGAAGCTCAGCACCCACTCATCACCCTACCCCATCTGACTGTGTAGCTCAGGGGAGCAGTCTGTGACATACGTACAGAAGATCTCCCGTGTCTTCACATGGGCCTAGGATTTCATCAGGATGACTGATGGAGCCATGTAATAAAGCATCACTGGGGAAGGCTTCTTACTCTGCCTTAGTCTTCTTCCCAGGGTTGTAGCCCTGCCTCTGACAAGTCTCCCTGGGACTTTACTTAGTTCTGCTGCTTGTTTGAGAAGGTAGGGGTAGATTTAATAAAAGCTCAGGAGGAAAGTGACCATCTCAAGTCTCATATACACAGGCTTGCAGGACAAAGACCAGTGGTCTCCTTTATAAATTTGTTTGTGCTGAAAAGCAGTGAGGTAGGGCTAGTTGTGTGTCATGGAGTTGCATCTGACTCAAAGTGTCCTGTAGGACATAGTAAGGGTTCCTTGAAAACTAGGGTTTCATAGGCTGTCATCTGTATGAGAGCAGATTTCTAAGTCTTTTCTCCTGCTGAACAGCCGGTAGGGTCGAATTGTCTACCTTTTACTTAGTAGCCGAGCTCCTAACCATTACACCAGAAGGACTCGTAGAACAGCCCCTAGACCAGAATGGATGTAAAAAGCCTCATAGCACTTCCGTGCACTAAACAGGGCTCCAGGGATAGGGAGGGAGGCTGAGAGGCGCTGAAGTAGAAGAGCCCCTAGACTCAGAAGCAAGAGTCAGGACTTACTAAAAGCTGCTTCTCTTCCCGCTTATCACAGAAGCTTATGGTATAACACCAAAGACTTGTTTAGGCCATTGATAAAGGAAATAGATATCACCAAAATGACAGACAAAAATAATACATTTTCACAAGCTGAATAAAACCTCAATGCTCCATCTTAAACTTTTCTCTCAAAAGAAAGTGCAGATCAATAAATGATCAATAAAACCTAAATGAGTGCTCTAGAAACTTAAAAAAACCAAAACGAAGAAAAAGCCTCTAAAGGCTGGAGCTATCCAGAGGGCAGGGGGAGAAGGTTTTAAGCCCTTCTCTGGAGCTTGACTATTCCTTAATAGTCACTTCACCCTTTCTCTAGGGAGGGTGATGTTTAGACTCTTTATTTACCTGCTTCCTTTCATCCTGCAATCTACAAACACTTTACTTTAATAACACCTTATTTTAGTTTAGTACTTCTCTCCTAGGAGCCTGAAATACTTCCTATAGATGATCTCTTTAATCTTTGTGACGGTCCCAGAAGGTAGGGTGGAGACCTGATTATACCTATTCCATCATTTGGGAGGCAGAAGTACAAGGTGGGTAAGGGAGAGATGAGACAGCACGGCCAGCTGGAAGTCTGGAGGTTGAACTGGTCCGTCACTCAGGAGCCTCTCTTTCCTTTTAAGGAACTCTCATAGCATACTGGTTAGGAGTCGGGCTGCTAGCCTCAAGGTCAGCCATTCAGCAGGAGAAAGATGAAGCTTTCTGCTCTCTTAAAGATTGACAGCCTTGGAAACCCTATGCGGGGTTGCTATGAGTCAGAACTGACCACAGCACATCATCACCACCATCACCATTTCCACTTGGCTTTGAGGAAAGAGGCCACAGGCCTGGCTTTCCACGGGGAGTTGGAACTGATCCTCTCAACCTTGCTGCTGGAACCCCTGCCTAAACCGGGCACCTGAAAGGCTAGACACAGTGTATCTCTTGTCTGTCCATGTCAGCAAGGGGCCCACAGACCAGTTCAGCTAGCCAGCCTTCATGGTAGTCCATTGCCAGCAGCTCTCATTTGTCATTCATAAGGGCCAAAAATGCATTTCCTGTAGCATTAACTATTTAGTTTGAAGAAAGGCTAAAACAGTGAGCAAGTTTTTGTCCACTTGCTTTTGGAGTTGAAGAAATCCAAATAGTCCTGGACACCCCCATGTCTGTCTCAGCTCTAGCCTAAGAGGTCGCTACTCTTAACCTCTTTGGCCCCAGTACCTGTGCCCTTTCTGCCACCAGGAGGCAGTGCCATCCACCTTGGCCCTGAAAGTAGTATAAGAGGGCAGAAGCTGGAGCTCTGAGCCCCTGGGACCTAGGCCTAGCACTTGGCTCCCCAATACTAGATGACGTACCCTCTTCTCACCCAATGAGTTTTCTGAAGCTTCTGCCCTGTGCTACTGGCAGCCCAGCTCCCCACGCCAACCTCCCCTAGCTGCCCTGCGGCTGGGGTAAGTGTGTCAACTGGCCAGGGAGCCTGACAAGTAGGAAAGGAATGAGTGGAGGCATGGAAATAGGCCAGCAAAAGGTGCTGAGTGGACAACTAGTCTGTAGGTAGAAAGTCTATAACCCCTTCTTCCTGAAGCCAGAGAAGAAAGAAATAATGAACTGTAGGGAAGAAGCAGCTGATTCTGTTGCTGAGGTCCTTCCCCATGGGAACACACCGGCAGATGGCTCACACAAAAACCGAGTGCTTGCCCTGTGCCAGGCACTATGAGGAACAAAGGTCCCAGGGAGAGTGGGCACAGACCTTGCTTAAAGAACTCAGTCTTGGGTGAGATGTGGCTTGCTCTCCTCATCACCCTAGAACAGTGGGTCAGGGCTGACACAAGTCTAAGTGAGGATGGGTTGGCCACAAGCTGAGTACCTGGAAACAGCCCAGGTGCCTCAAATCCACCCTGGCAGTTACCTCTACGGCCCACGGTTGATGCCCTCATCCCTGGCACCTTGACCTGCCCCATCTCCAACCTCAGCTACCCAGGTAACCTCAGTTAGCAAACAACCCCCACAACAGGGTGGAGTGAGTCAGAGCCTGGGTCCTTCACTAACCCTCAGTTCCCACACCCAGGAATTCAGGGCCCACTAGGCAGGTCTGGGTGCTGCAGGGTTGTGGGGACACTGGGACCTTGTGTCTGACCTCTATATCTACTGAGATGGAGACAACTAGAAGACTTCAGAAAAATATTCCAAAGAATCAAGGGGATGCACTAGGGTCGGGGAATGCTGCACTTGTCAGCTATCAATCTCAGAAGGAGTCAAAAACCCTAGTGAGATCTCACTCCTGGGAATTCACACTGCAGCCTGTCCTGCTATTGCTGCCCTGAAGCTTTTCCGCTGTTCTGGTTTACCCTGGGTCCTGAGAAGGTTTCTCCTACCCCCATGCCTCCCACAGGCCCCGGGCGTCCCTGGCTCCTCTCCCAGGATGAGTCTGACAGGCAGAGCTGGGATGGGCCCCAGAGAAATGTACTGCATGTCAGAGCCTGTGCCAGATGAGGGGCCTACTCCACACCCCCACCACCTCCCAGCATGGGGTTCCCCAACAGCTCCTCCCAGATACACACAAAAGGGCCATATCCCCACAGCCTTACCCAGTCAGGCCCTGGTGGGACTGAAACTGACACCTCTGACATCGCCCTTTTAAGAGGTTCCCCCCACCCATTGGGGGGGCGGGGTGCAGGCAGGTTCTCTTGCAGAAACCCAGAAACGAGGGGTTGGTTCTCCTGTGATCAGGAAGGAAAGGAGACCTGGACAGCAATCCTAATTTTCAAGTTTCAGGCCCCAAGACCTGAGGGACAGACCTGAGACCCAGTGACCTCTGATTCTGAAAATGCCCTTTTTCCTTCTGGAGGGGGAAGATCCTCTCTTCAGCTGCTCTGATTGGCTGACTCACAAACTGCATTTTGGAGTGCGGGTCCTTACTCCTCCATAGGACTGGAGGCTCCACCCCTGTGCAAACCTGCTGTCGGTAAATGGTCTGGGGAATTCTTTTCATTGAGGTGTAAATTGCTGGTAGATGGTATGACACTCTCTCAGGAGGACTTGCATTATAAACCCAAAGAACCCCTTATATAGAGTAATGGTTATCTTTTTTTAGGGGGGGTCTTGTCTTAGATCAAAAATATTTTAAATGTCTCTTCTTTTTCCAAAACCAACTCTTTCCTGTTTGTGCCCTGGGTCTTGCTGACATTTTATGTCCTTTGTTCCTCAGCTGTTGTTGTTGTTGTGTGTCGTGGAGTCAGTTCCGACTCATAGTGACCCTGTACAGGGTTTCCGAGGCTGTAAATCTTTACCGGAGAAGAAAGCCTCATCTTTCTTCCACGGAATAGCTGGTAGTTTCGAACTGCTGACCTTTCGGTTCGCAGCCCGATTCGTAACCACTACGCTACCAAATCTCCCATCTTCCTCTCTCATCCCCTCTCTTCCCCACTGTTTCCTTCCAGGGGTCAGCATACTTACATTTTCCCCATCCAAAAACAGCCTTCTTGCCATGGTGCTGGCCCTCCTACGTTAACAACACCCCTGACCCACTCCTCACTGAAAGAAGGTGAAGTGTTCCACACTAAGTCAGCAGCATGTGCAAATGTCCAGAGGTGAGGTAGAGATGGGGAAGAAGGCCTGAATAGGGAATGTGCAGAGAGTGAGAGAAGGCCTGAATTGACACTGGAGAAGTAAGTAGGGTGAGGAAATGGTATATTTAACTGCCCTTAGGTTGGTTCCTGACTCATGTCAACCCCACGCACAATTGGATTGCACTGTTGTGATCCATAGGGTTTTCATTAGCTAAATTTTTAGAAGTATATCTCCAGGCATTTCTTCCTAGTCTCTATCAAGCCAAGTCTGATGCTAAGTCTGAGTGTTAAGGACACATGTGGTCCTACTCGTAGAGTGTACCACCAGTGAGTCAGACAGATGTTAACAAAGTATGGGAACAACAATATACTCTATGTAATTACAAATTGTGATGTGTGCCGTGTTCAACTACTGGACAGAAGTTGATGTGCCCAGGACAGAGTGAAGGCAAGGACTTGCAAGAATAGGTTGGACTGGAGAGAACAAACAAGATGGTGGATCGGGTATACGTATAGCAGAGAGCTCCGCCAACAACAACACAGAATACCCGACTAAGCAGGCTCAGGGGCTGGTCGCAGAACTCTGAACCACATCTAAAGGAATACTTAGAAGGTTGGAAGGCTTACAGCTGGGGGAATTTGTGGCAGAAGCAAGAAATCTATCGCTTTCTAGTCCTGATGCTCAGATGCTCCAGGAGCCGCCATCTTGGGTGAGACCACGTGGGGAAAG